GAGTCACACGACCCGTGTGAACTCACACGACCCATGTCACTTAAGTCACACGACCCGTGTTAAAAAAACCGAAGCTAAACTTGAATAGTGCCTTGAGCCACACGACCCGTGTGGCTTGTCACACGACCAGTGTGACTTCACACGACCAGTGTGGCTACCCACACGACCCGTGTGACTTGAAAACTTCAAAATTTTAACTTTTTAAGCCTCAAAATAGCTCAATCTTGGAAATAAACTGATACTTATTACTAATAACTAAATGGGATATTACAATCTACCCCCCTTAAAACTATTTCCGCCCTCGGAAATACTGGAACTGGGATACATACTATCTGAGTATATATTAAAAGTTAAAATCTGGAACTCTAACATCAGCTTATCACTCCCAAATGGCATTTTATTCTCCGTAGAAATTCCATTTTATACGAACGAGGGAAATATCTCGATTCCTTAGCCGATTAACTTTTTGGTCCAAAACAGATACCAACGGTTCCTCGTAAGTTAAAACTTGCTGAATCTAAATCTCATTGTGCTAAAGCACATGATTTGGATCGCTCACGTATACACGTATCATCGATACGTGAAAAACATTACACATACTAACCAACTCGGGAGGTAATGCTAAATGATAGAATACTTCTTCTACTCGTTCAAGAACTTTGAACAGACTTATACAATAAGAATGCAACTTACCTTTCTTCCCAAAACGAACGACACTTCTCATTAGTCGAACTTTCAGAAAGACTTTATCTTCAATCTCTAAATGCATTGCTCTTCCATGCTTATCAAAAAGCAGATTATCAAAGAAAGTGAGGCTAGTTCCTCCATACAGTAAATTGATCTTTTGTTTTCCCAATTCTCCCATTAGTTGGGATACAATATTGATATTTTGAGAAGAAGATACAAGTTTAGATCCTCCGAGAACACAAATGGTTTTTATAGAAGGAAAAACTTTTGTGACTTGAGAAGATTCAGAAGTCTCCATTTGGAGTAGAGAGATAATCAAATTGAAGAAAAGAGGGGATATTTAAAGAAAGAAAAAGGAGTATTATATTGACAGAAGCAACAGACAAGGAAGAAGTTGAGCATTAAATGAGATGTATTATCAGAAGAAATCAGATACCTTTTAATAAAGAGTTAACAGAGATGGATGCTGCAAACAGGATCTTTAGCAACAATATTTTTGAGACTATAGCGGTTTTGTTCATCTTTAAAATAGACCCATAAAGACATAAGCTCTCGATGCACATATCCACTGGGATGTGTATCGAGAATTTGTTGGAGGATTTGATCCAGGGATTCCTTGTTCAAGCCATTCTTAATGAAAGCTTTTTATCTTCTCGATTTATGGACATAAACCCCAGCGATTTGCATCAAGTATCGCAATTCGATCGAGCACATTTATAGCAGCCACCTATTTGTTTTGCTCTACGTGTCTTGGCAAGAGTACTTCTACCCATACCGGACAGATATTTACAAGAATTTGAAAATTCGCCAGAGAGTCGGACGTTTGCTTCAATCAACCATCATATATCATTTGGAATATTGTGGATCATTAGCACTCTCAATCTTTCCACTCGAGATCGATAAATCCTTTTTATGATATTAAAGGGAAGAAAGGAATATGATTTGCGAATATTTGAAAGTGTCGGATCCATTGGTTATTTCGGACCATTGATGAAGAAGACTGAAGAATTAGCGATGCTGTTTATAAGAGATCGGAGTGTATGAGGTAAGTTTCCAGAGATAAGATTCAGGCATTAAAATATAATTAATGTCTGAAAGAAGCAATCAGTACGCAGTTAATGCGGTAGAAGCAGATGTGAGATGTCGGAAATAATTGAAGAATAAATTATTGTGAAGTTGAGATGTGTCGGTCAGCATTATTAAGGAAAGAATAATTCACCTCAATAGGTGAAATATGGTATGATCAGTAATTGGGTATTTATGCAGCAGTGCAGTAATTTCTAATCATTTTTTTTATTGGATATATTAAAGTCAGAGAAATATAAGTGTTAATAGTAATATTT